TGATCGGAGAGGTGTTATGAGCTTAAGGGTTATTTTTCCATATCGGGTACTACTGCTGTAGGCAACAGAGGCGAAGCGGGGTGTGCACCGAAGATTAAGACTGCATTGACAAACTCACGATTCCCTAGCCGAAATATTGAAGCACGACATAACAACACGAATCATAATGTTGGCGACGGCAAAACGTTTTGACCACGCGACTCGATTGCAATATCTGTGAGAGAACGTTCTGTGCCCGGCTGTTGACGTGGCACAACCAGCGACGGGGATGGACGCAACCCACGTCTTTTCTCACTGAACATGAAGAAGGGTATTGTTCATCGAACGGTGTACGAGCCCGCGTCTGCTCATGACAATGCAATCGGCCCCAACAAACAACCGCAAAACATGAGTTGTCAATGCGGATGCCTCGGGGAGCAACAAGTGCTTGCGAGGGTAGGAGGAGATGGAAGTTTCGGTCCCACAGGCAATCATCCAACACTTGTTTGTCCGACCCCACGACGGTAAAGAATCCCTCCCCACCACCCACCCTGTTCTACCCTTGGATCGGAGGAAGACAAGTTTATTAACTCACTGGTGACGGTAGCGACGAGGCAAAGGAAACCGGAAACGAGCGTGTTGATGGCGAGGCCCTCGCAGCCGATCCTTTTCCCAAGATCTAGCCAGTTGCGAGGAACGCATAAACGGGAACTTGCAGACGAGCATTTTGGAGGGAGGTCGTGAGTTGACTGTGTATGGGGAGTATCACGGAACGTGAACTGATCAAGCGTATTGACGAGTGGTCCGTGCGAGTCATCGCACAAAACATGGGGGTCAATTGCTCTCCCAATCCAGCAGCAGCTCGTGACATGCATCTTCGCCAATACTATCGATTTTGGATGTGGCAGGTAGGTATCCTTAACGCCGGGGAAGGGATGCCCTCAGTCAGGTCAAGAGGCCCAGGCGCGAAATGGAAAGGGAGCACCGGAGTTCACCATCGTGATGGAATGGACTTGGTCGTCGAAAAAAAATTGGATGACATGAGTGAGGGCTAGCATGTATGAGCCGGAATGGGAAGTGAAGGTCTTGGAATACGGGGAAGGAGAGTTCGAGAGACAGCCGCGGCAAGGGATAGAGTTGTTTGTTGTTGTTTCTCAAATTAGCTCTAAAAAACAAAATTGGGAGCCCGTGGTCTCAAAACCCGGCATACACGACCCCACGAAGAAACAGAAAAAAATAGGGTACAAAAACCACTCGAAAGAGAAACAAAATGATAGAAAGAAAGACCAGCTACCGCACCAAACGAGAAAGAGCGTCGAGGAGACCGATCAAAATAAAATAAAAGGAGAACGGGGAACGCTTCCCACACCCGCCTACAACGCCGGAGGGTTCCGTGCCGGGTTCCCGCCGACCAGGCATCCCCCGCCCTGCACCACACCCCAGGGGGTGCAGCAAGACGGGGGGCGAAAAACAAACACATATATATTCCCACAAAAAAAATAAAAAATCGAAGGACAACGTACACCAGTACCAGGTACTACAGCAGTGCAGTATGCACCAGCGCATTAGTGTAGGGTAGGCACCGCACCAAAGAGGCAGCAGAGGTGGCAGGCAGCCAGCAAAGGAAAAAACAAAAATAACAAGGAGCTCGAGGTATCGTCCAAGATCATCGTAGAGAGGGCATGGAGAACAAGAAAGAAAGAAAGAAGAAAAGCACAAAGAGAGGCCGGAGGCAATACTAAGAGCATACAGCTTACGGCAGGGAAAAGGGAACACAGGGTGCGACAACATCATCAGTTGGGTACGTCGTTCGCCGCAAGCGCGGCCTTGGCCGCCCTACTCGCTTCTACAGCAGTGTCCGGTCGCCGTTTCTTCCCCCCCCCCGCCGCTTCCCCGATTCTCTTTCTCTTCGGGCCCGGGGCGGCCGTGCTCTCCGTCTCTGCTTCCTCCGCGCGCTGGCGCTGGCGCTTCGCGGATGCTTCCGCCTCCTGTCTGTGCCATTTCCTCATGAACCATGCCGCCCCGTCCTCGATCTTGTCGTACCACGCCTCCTGGTCCTTGGCGCTCTCTTTCCATCTCCTCCCCTCCTTCTCCTCTTTCATGCCAAACGCCACGAGGTCCTCTCCTAGGCGATACACCCAGTCGCTCTCCTGCCCGCCCCGGTATCCGGTACCCCCCGCCATCGCTCCCAGCAGCATGCGCTTGGGGAGGCGGTTGTCCTCCATGCGCATAACGAAGCCCGCAAAACACAGCCTCCGTTTGCGCATGGTGGCCTCGATGGTTTCCTCGCAGCCGGCCTGGATGAGGGCCTGGGCGTAGGACAGGGGTCGGTCTGAGCGCTTCCGCTTGCTCCAGCCGATACACCGTGTCAGGAACTGGTGGTGGGTCCCATTCAGCTCGGTGTAGTGCTCCGCTGCCAGGCTCCACGAGGCGCACCCGAGTGTGGGAAGGTGACGTGAGAAGGGATCCAGAAGTGTGGAAGAACCAAGGCTTCGTGATGTGAGTTGTTTTTCCAAGCTTGAGCGACCAGCTTGATATGGTGAGCCCGGTTGTCCTACCTTGGTTTTCCTTCCGAAGGAGGCGGCTGGTATTCCTTGGTAGATTGAAGGCCGGGGAAGAGAGGACATCAACCCCCAAGCCTCGGCCCTTATGTGGGCGAGGAAAAAATAAAAAATAATAAGAACTTTCCCGGGAAGTGAGAGAAAAAAAATAGGAAGGTTGTGTCGTACACCCTGATGTTTTCGTCAGAGCGGTAAGAAAGATCCAAGTAGGCATATCAAGGAAGGAGAGATTAGACATGATGGGGCAGATACAACGGAATAGAAGCAGAAAGAAGGTATAGAAGAAAAGGGGATGCACTCTTGTCCACAACAGAAGCATCGGAACGCAAAGGAGCAAGCCAAGCAAACGGGCAAGAATAGAGCACGGCCAGAGGGCGGGATAGAGTACGAAGAAGAGGAATAAGATGGAAGCGAGAGTACGGAGAGGGAAGACACAGAGAGAAAGGGCAAGTATTTGCGTCGTGGTTCCCTTTCCCACCCACCCACCCATCCCAAAATCACGACGTGTGTTTATTGTCTGAATGGTGGCGATTGAACAAAAGATGTGGCTATAGTATGGTCATGGCGGAAACGGGTAGTAGTTGAGTGAGGCATGAAAAGGCAGAATCAATAATTTATGTCAAGGTCAGCGTGTTTCGGGCTTAAGAGCTGGACATGGAACAACCGGTAGGCCGAGGTAAGCCTGTTTCTGGCACAAGCGAGACATGGAAAGACCGGAAAGTCGAGGTAAGCATGTTGTAGTCTTGAGCAGGGCATGGGAAGGCGGGAAGCGCGTGTTTGGCCATATCGCAGGACATGGATTGTTTGGAACGTGTTATTTCCAAGCTTGATCGACCAGCTTTATATCTTCAGCCTGGTTTTTCTACCTAAGGAGGCGTCTGATATTTAATGGTAGGATTGAAGGCAGGGGAGGAGGGGGCATCAACCCCCAACCCCAGGTCATTATTTGGGCAAGGAACCAATAAAGAGGCATTTTTCGTGAAGAGAGAGACAAAGCACCAAGTTGTACAACCTGGGAACCAGTAAAAAATTATCATATGCACGTCTACACCCTCGTAGATGCGTATGGACGATCAAGCACCCCCGCGACACAAGCAAGAGAGAGCCGCCTTTTTTTGTTCACACCTCCGGTGCTGTCTGTTCCTACCGTGCTGCACGATGCAGCAATCGCAGTGTATTATTCCCTCATATCGGATTTCATCCGCAGAAACAAAATCCAGTGTTTGTCAGGTCAGCGGTGCCGTGGAGTGTTTTTAGGCAGTGAACTTTGTCGAATTATTGTACACGAATTCTCGCGATCGTTTTATCGTTTACAGCAGCACGGTATGGTGTAGAACACACCTTAGACAACGGTCACTATGGTCTGGTCTGCAGTTTGCAGGTTTGTTTATTGTACATACGGCACGACTCATGCCGTTCGGTCTATTCAACCGGCGTTCGGAATGCCGACCATGAGGTGGTGTGTAGAACACGCAGCAAGAGTTAGCCAGACAGAGCATGTTGACAAGGTGTCCATTGCTGAAGAGACGTCTAAGAAAACATTGTTGACAAGGGCTTAGACGTTATCAAGACTAATGTGAGCCCTGTAGCTCCACCAAGAACACACCATTTTTCAACTCATTCTTGGTGCTTGTTCCCACGTCCACCACACACAGTGGTTTCGCCGTTACTTCAAGATGTCTCGGGGCCAATGAAGGGTCGCTCCTTGAGACGCTGGCGTAACATCGACTGATAGACTATGGGCTCATGATGCTAAACCGCAATAATGGAACGGGAGTACCACAGAGAAAGCTTACGATTCTCTGGTCTACACTATTCTCCGACCTTGGTGAACACATGGCCCACTGGCATGTGGTTCACGACCCATAGGTCGCGGTGAAAAATGGCAAAGTGGTGTCTCTTGGTGTTGTACGGGTTTACCCTCCACTTTTCGTGGTACAGCATGCATTCTGGTATCAAACCTTCTCAGCCGGACAAACGCTGAAGACATCCGATAGGGTTTAAACGAACAAGGACAACATTTCCACCAATATATTCTCAATGATTCCGGCATGTCTCACATCGACATTTTCCTCGTCAAGCCCCTCGAATGGTTCTCATCCGCGGTGCCCTACTTAAGCAGTCGATGCCGACTCTGAGGTCCCACCAAATGGAAGCAGAACGTCGGTCGTGTGGACACAAAAAAAATGTACAGTACAAGGGACTCTCAACCAACGCCGGTTGAACAACGCCCGCGGCACTGTGTGCGCCGGTGGAATCGCTGGGCACACAGGTCATTCTGTACTCTGAATAGCACCGTCCTCTCTGTATAGCGCCGGTCGATTCGCCGGGCACGTACTGGCGCCACGAGGACTCAGCCCGGTACTGGGAACTTAGCAGCAGCAGCGGCTTACACGATTTATTTAGCTCACCTAACAGTACCCCCATGGAGAAAGGCTGAGACAGCCGAAACTGTACATTGACTGTTGTACATCGAACTGAAGGCAGTTCTAGGTGTCAGCTTGGGGTAGTCAATCGACTTGAGTGGGAGGCTCTGGAATCGCGCCAGTTGGTGCTAAAACCCAAGTACTCCAGCCGGCAACAGCCCAAGGCCATTTTTCCTACATCTCCCGGATATCTCTCGATCGTTGCGCTTCGCACTAAAGCACTCCTTAGTAAGCCATGTGACTGCAGAAAATGCTGCTCCCCTCAGAATAATCAAACGTCCAAGTTGCTACGATAGACACTACATGTAGCACTCGTTATACGCGAAGACCTGCACACCAGAAGGGATTTCCACTCCATCTACGCTCGAGCCTTCCAACACGGTCAGATGACGAAGTTCCTTCGGCCATTCGATTCCGCGGAGAAGGCTATTATCACCTGCATAATGGAAATCGAGAAGGCGAAGTACTTCAAGGTTGGGCATCCAAGTGCCCACGCCTCGCAGCGACTGCCTGAACTTGTGGCCTACTGTTAGTCGCCGAAGCGATGCAGGCCAGGCACAGCTGCCGATGCGTTGATTGAAGTTCGAAAACACTATCGTCCTAAAGTCCCCTTGTTCGCAACATCCAAACGAAAGCTGTTGCAATGACGACGGCCACTTCACGTTGTCCACTGGCTGGTTGAACATACATCCGAAAACGAGAGTCTGCAGCGAATCTGGCCACACAGTGCCCTCAATGGGCTGGTTGAATGTGCTCCCAAACGTCAGCTGCTGCAGCGATGCGGGCCACACAACATCCTCGATCGACTGGTTGAAGGCCATCCCCAGGGAAAGTAGCCGCAGCGAAGGCGGTAGAATCGCTCCAGCAATCGATTGGTTGAAACGCGAATACGACGTGGGGAGTATGAGCTGCTGCAGCGATGCCGGAAAGTCCACACGTTGGATCGGTTGGTTGAAATCTGCTCCGAAAGTGATCTTCTGCAGAGATGCTGGCCATTGCACCAGTCCAAGAGGCTGGTTTAATGGCGAGCATACGTCAAAGTGGATCGTTTTCAGCCGCTGTGGCCATGCCACAGCGTCAAGGCCGTCTTCAACGCCCATGCCGAACTCCAGGTACTCCACGTCGGTCATGGCAAAGATCGGACTTCTCAATCTCGCTGCTGTCGGGAGGTTCCACGTCACGCGGCGCGCTCTTAGACATGGCACACGTGTCCAATATAACAGCTTCGGGTTCGGCGGGGGGGCATCTGCAATGGCCAGCAGCCTGCGTGGAATTTGGTCGTCGACTTTCAAGTGCACGGTCGGATAGCTCCTGGCGCGATGCAGAACTCCAAGGACGCCAGCTGCAGCTCCTTGGTCGACGTGTAACAACTCGACCCGTCGCACGTCTCGTTCAAAGAAACGATGAGGGCTTCCAAGCAGGAGTTACGAGTAGGTCCTGCGGATCAACATACAATGTATTCGTGTACATGTAAGCTAGAGAACACCAATGGGGTCTTTGAAATGAATTTCAGTCCGTGGCGGTAGAGTTTGCAACTGGTCGAAGAAAACGCCACAACGCGAAGATCATCCGGATCATTTCTCACACGCTACAAAATAAACTTGCCATCCAAGAAGGGTCAACAAAGTCATCAATGTTTGGCCTAGGCCGTTCTTCACATGATAATAACAACAGCTTAACGACCATATAAAAGTAGCCAAACGGACAAAACAATTGCCGGTGATGCCATGAACGACCTGAGGCATGAAAGGTGAACAAAAAAACACANAATATCAACAGCTTAGCGACCTTTTAAAAGTAGCCAAACGGACAAACCAATTGCCGGTGATGCCATGATCGACCTGAGGCATGAAAGGTGAGCAAAAAAACACATGATGGGCCCTTAACATGATTATATTCGAACAAACCTCCAGGATTGGGACTGATTGGGACTGGACGCAACAGCGTGGAGATGCTGTAGCGAAGTACCCAGCTCCATGGAGCACCAACAAAGAAAACAAACAACGCGCGCGAAACTACAAATGAGTCCAGACGAAAGACGTCGCGTCACAACATGTCCGACCCTGAAACTGTGCGCCCGCAACCCTGCACAGCTCATTACAGCAGCAGCGCACAAGCGAGTAAACGGAAGAATACAGAACGGAAATTCACACGGCGACTCGCAGAGTCGATGCTACCGCCGTTACGGCCAACGCCACCAACCAATACAGAGCGCGCCCTTGCTACTCCCACCCACGCTCGACACCTGTGCTGAGTAACGTGCATGTGTCGCTGACATGGGTTGTATAGTAGTCTATAGACCTGCTGAAGTCCTTCGGCTGGTGGTGGACGGGGTGAAGGGAGTGGGCCTTGTAGTTGGCCCTGATCGTAGTTGCCCTCGCCTTTCCTTCTCCCGAAATTCGATCGAGTTCTGAATTGATGCTCTTGCTCGAGCGCCAGCGGCCGTGTGCTGTAAGCGAGCTGCCGTGACCTACACGTCGGCGGCCTCTTTTGCTCTCTATTCGGTGCGACTCTCCGAGCTTCGTCCCCCGACGACTTCACTTTTTCATTCCGCCCGCTCATACGCGCACCGGCCTCTCGGTCAAACATCCCCACTGTCAGGGCGGTGGCCGCATCACCCATACAAGGGTCTATGATCCATGATGGCGGGGCTGGAACTGCTGTGAAAGGCAGCGGTGCCGGTAGATGCGGGTGGATGTGGCGAAGTGTCAAACGAACATGTGCAACTTGGTGGTTCGCACGGGGGGGGTGCTTTTTGTTTTCTAGCGGTGCGGAGCCCCTCTTCCGAAATCCTTAGAGAGCGGCCGGAGGACACACACCACAGCACACAAGCGCAGCACCGCGTTTGATCCGACCATGGCTTCACCTATGTGCGTTGGAACGAGCATACTAGACACCGGGGCGAGGAAGTCTTCCGCAGCAGGGCCTGCAGAAGCACAGGCTGGTGTGCCTGGAATGTTCGGGTTGCCAAACGTGGCGAATGTGAGTGTGCTGCTCTCCCTCTCGTGCAGCGTTTGCCAGTTGCTCCGTCGACAAACTAAGGTTTCCGTGCGTGTATGCCGCCTTTTGCAAAGTGCGCTAGATCAATGAGAAACCAAATGCGAGAAGTGTTAAGCGTGTCTTCCACTTCTAGATAGATAAATAGCAAGGAACAGGCCGAATTTCCGATGTGATGACGCCAAGTAGCACCCCCCCTCCTTTGACGTTTTGGATGCCACCTTCGTCCACCGCCAAGAGCAAGGGGTTGATTTCTTGTTCTCTTGGCAACAAAGTTGCCAACGTCTGTCTGAGCATCTGCTATTTGGACTGGACAACGCCCTTCAATACCGTGGGGAAAAGGAGGATGAAACACTTCGAAGTATGCGTATGCTTACATCGTACAATTACCATCTCAAGTATACACGGAGCAGGTGCTGATTGGGGTACTACTGCTGCAATGTACAGCAGTACACACACTGTGAATCGCGATTGGCCCCAACAGCTGACTTCTTTCACTCGCTGGCCTGGCTGTGCACTGCTGTCTGTCGTCATACCGAACCAACGACTTGCCCCATCTCGTTTGCAGCCTGCAGCGTTTTGTAGCGCCAATCTTGGCTGCGGCTACGGAACGGACCACGCGCAAGATATCAAGTTCGCAAAGGGTACCACCACGCTAGCTTTCAAGGTGTGTGTTGTCGCTTTTGCACGGGGAAGTAACGACCGGGCATTTTTTTACCCATGCCCTGCCCTGACTGCTGTATTTGTTCCTTGTGTTCTATTTTTGAATGGCGAACGAAATGCAGCTCATAACAGCAGTCGCTAAACCGCCTGGTATCTTTGCGTGTACGATTGCCGAAAAAGGCGCAAATACAAACGCCAAAGTGCTCTGATCGCGAGTGCAGTATCCGGGTTGTGGTCATTGCATCGCTGTGATGAACGATGTCGCTTCATATCCTTGGGGAATTTGTCTCGTTTGGTCGTCCGTCTGGCGTCCCTGGTGCCGCCGCCGACCTCTGGCAACACAGAAAAGCACGCCCAAGTCCACTCAACTCAAACCCCACATATAGCCTCAACTCTTGCAGATGTCCGCTTGGCCCTGTCTAGCTTGCTACCATGGCGTTTTACCCCCCGCCCTGCGTTTGAGGATCGATTTTTTTGTCTTGGCCGATGTCCATTGCCGATATTCACTGCCGGTCGTGGCCCATTATGCCTTATTTAATTAACATTTGTGTTCCCCCCGACGCCCGCTGTTGTGCGCTGTTCAGTTCCAGGGAGGGATTATCGTCTCCGTTGACTCCCGGTCAACCATGGGACCGTACATCGGTGAGTGTATGCTCGGCCCACCGCATCCCGCTTGCTCTCATTGTGATTTGGCTCGTTGTGTTTTGACCGCCTTACACCGTAGCAGCGCGAGTTGTCGCAAACACCCGAGATCGACTCTCAGATGGGTTGCTTCACAACCAAGAGGCTGCCACTGCTGAAAAGGGTGGTGTTGGAACGATCTCGGTGAGAGAGAGCTTTCATTGCGTGTATCGGCCGGTTTCCGCTCTCTCTCGGTGGAGCAATCGAACCATGTGCAGTCAGCCTACGCTACTGGGTGCACGGTGTCTCGCACGTCAAGTGCCGTACCTTTGATTCGGCTGGGCACTTCCTACACTGAAATGCTGCAAGTAACGACAGGACCATCCCTCGGTAGAAACCAAAGACACCCGTTTGTTTCGTGATCTCCTGTTGATGTTCGCCTTGCAGCTTCGGGGACGGTAAAGAAGGTGATTGAGATCAACCCCTACCTTCTCGGGACGATGGCGGGAGGAGCGGCTGACTGCTCGTTTTGGGAGCGTAATCTGGGCATTCAGGTCAGCGCGCAGGAGGTAGACAGATGCAGTTTGTACGGCATGTTTCAGTTCACATCCGAATTGTGGTTGGAGGGCATCGTTGTGAGACGCGTGCCTTGTGGCTACAGATCCGCTGCTGGGTGTGCGAATCGTGAGTCATGCCCCATAGTGGGTGTTCTCGACGACGAAGGCTTTCTCCGTCATCTTCACGGAGCCCCAAGCATTCATTGAATTCGACGCCAACCCAGATTTTTTCGGTGCACATGTAGAGTGCTGTCGCCCTCGCACACGAGCGAGCCCCCTGCAAGAGACAAAGGTGTGAGTTCCAGTCGCGCAATCTGTGCGCACTGCAGAAGAAGACAGTCAAGAGAAGTTTGTCATGTTGCGCCCTGCTTCTTGCGCCGCATCACCATCACCCCATCTCATCTTTGCAGTGTCGAATGTACGAGCTGCGCAACAAGGAGCGCATCTCGGTGGCAGCGGCGTCGAAGCTGCTGTCCAACACCATGTCGCAGTACCGAGGGTACGGGCTGAGCATGGGCACGATGGTGGCCGGCTGGGACAAGACGGGGCCGCAGCTGTACTACTGCGACGACGACGGCACTCGGCTGCACGGCAACTTGTTCTCGGTGGGGTCGGGATCGACATACGCCTATGGTGTCCTGGATACGTGAGTGGCGGGCGTTTACCGTGGCCTCTTTCTGGTGGGGCACCGACCGGCAGAATGGAGGGTGTTCGGTTGGTAATGGGACGTGTCGAGTAGTGCGGGGCCCGCACAACAACAAGCTGTGGTATATGCCAAGCGATTCACTGCATTTTTTCGACCACCAACTTGCACCAACAGCAGCGCGTGTGTTTGCCTTTTTAGTGCGACGAGAGTGACACACTTCTGATAGCACAGCAAACTATGATTTCTTCTTGATCCAGAATTGATCCTCTCGTGTGTCCCCCCCCCGTCTGTCCGAACAACCTCCCTTTTGCTCGAAAACCACACCAAACGTGAACGCCGAACCAGCCACTACAAGTACGACATGACCGACGAGGAGGCAATCGAGCTGGGCAAGAGGGCCATCTACCACGCCACGCACCGGGACGCATACTCCGGTTCCATCAACAACGTTTACATCGTCAAGCCCACGGGGTGGGTCAAGGTCCACGCGGGAGACGTGAACGACATGCACTACAAGCTCGCGGAGGAGAAGGCAGCCATCACCGCGTCGCGCACAGGGGCAGAAGAGAAGGCGCCATGAGACGCGGGGGTGTAGTGCAGGGTGTGCGGAGGACCAAGTAACGCTACTCTTTTGATAGAAGCCAAAGGTCATTCGTGGGGTGTTGTCTTCCATGGGGAGGGGGCGCGCAGGGGGTGATGGCGTTGAAGACCCTTGGAACAAGGGGGGGCCAAGCCTGACGCTGGTGGAGCGTTCGAAACCACTCAAGTAAATTAGGGCATCGCAACATCGAAGTCCAAGCGAGAAGCAACGCGGGGGCGGGGGGGGATGCTTGCACTTGACGCAGCCGCTCTTGGCAGTGTTGCGCTTGCCTTCCATGCGTTTTGGGAAGCCGTCGTGTCGCCGACTTGATATGTGTTGTGTCCACGCACGCGCTCAGATCGGGGTCACCACTTTCTTTCCCTGTGGAGGAGTGCTGTTTCCCGATCCCGGCGTATCGCTTGCAGTCTGTTGGTTTTGTTCGCGAGATGGACAAAACACTCAAAAAGGTACTCTGTACTAGGTCTTGCTTTGTGTGAAACTTCGCATCAGGAACACAAAATTCGCGCGTGCCGGGCAGCCCATGTGGGCGCCTTCATGTTCATGCCGATCCCCGTGAGACACTGATCCTGCTGAAGGGACAGCATGCCGTAGGCGCCTCAGATACTCCCCCTTGAGCGATTTTCAAGTCTAGATTGCTCTGGAGCAACAACATCGACGGTGCCGACAAAGGCGGGAGGCGTTAGACTCGTCGCCGAGAGCTTTCCGAAAACGTATCATTTGATGTTGGAATCCTCTTCGTCGTGGCGTATTGTTCGAGCTTTGAAATTCAATTCGGCATAAGGGGGTTTGGTATCTTACCTGATCTACGGCACTGCTTTTCGTGCGAAAAAAAAAACTACCCACACGGCCGATGAACTTGAAAGATGCGCGTTGAAATGGAGTCTCTAATTTGGCACGGGGACCCGAATACGGGATCCCTCACAGCAATTATCCCGTATGATAGTCCACAACATAAAACAACCCAGCAACGAAACACGTTGTGTTTCGTGCCGTCCCAACCAGCAAAGCGGCAGTACGGAGAGCCCCGTATGGCACAAAGCTCGACCGGAAAATTCGTCAGAAAATCGATGAAAATCAGGCCGGTGTTCATTTTCGAAATGTGTGTGACTCGTATTTCGACATGCTTGACTCAAGGTTCTCTGGAAATGTGGATTGTTTGCAAGGGTGGTCTCCCGTCCCATCGGGCGGAGGAGGGGGGGGGTGTCGGACGGCGCTCCCACGAATCAGGTACGTCCACCAACACTCCTACCTATACAATTGTGTTTTGTACTTCACAAGCTTGCCCCGACATCAAAACCAAAGCTTTGATCGAGCCTACCCCGAACACGCCAGCAATCGCCGCGCGTGTGGGGCCCATTTATCTGCCAAAGAGAACTCCACCCCGAGGCTCTGGTTGGTGCAGGTACAGGCGGCCGAGTGCAACAAGAACAACAAGAGGGAAGACAGTGTGCGTGCGTGTGTGTCTGAAACTTGAGTACATTCTTGGTCCGAAAATGATCCAGCTTTGGTGTGACGGCGTCGGTGGGCACGACACACTGAAAACCAGTTCGCGGCAGTAAACACGGAGGTGT